ATGAAACATCTCCATCGTGTGGTCAACTGCAAAAAATCTGAGATTTTTGTTTACAAACTGGCTAATGGCAGGTGTTGAAAGGGTACTGGCCTTCCTAGGGCTGCCTTTCCCTCTCTGGCCCCAGTGGTGGGCAGGCTCTCTCATCTCTCCACCCTTAAACACAATTTCCTTCTTCTCGTTGGGTGAGGCAAAGGTACAGGCACACGACATGGAAGAATACTGAAGACAAGATGCTTGTGTACAAAGCTCTACCCACAGTGTCTGTTCAGACTGATTAGGAAATCATAATTTTCCTCTTTCTATTATTTGCCAAGCCCAACCACACAGCCACTGCATCTCTCAAATTTATGCAAACAAGAAATCAACCTTGAAGTGTAAACTGACTGCAAGTACATGGAAATTGTTAATCAATTCTTTCAAGTAAAAGAAGATGACAAAATAACTTCCTGTGCCTGACTCATAATGCAACTGAGGTCAATTTTAACAAGTCTCTTGGATGTTCTTTTACCCTGTTTTAAGATGCTGCAAGTGTTCTGTTTTGTAGAAATACAGTCAGTGGTCAAACACATTCAGACACATTATTTTCTTGTCAGCAGCAGATACAAGAACTCAAGGTAAAGCTGTAAGTCTTTCTTTCACCAGTCAGGGATAATTAAGGTAGAGAATAGGGATATGCAACTCAGTATGCTATTGAGGACAACAGTAACTCAAGGAAAGAATAATTCAGTCCTTTTTTTCACCCAGTCTTCTTGTGAACAATCCTTAGATATGACAGTATAATCTAAAGCAACACTTGCTTGAAGCTTGTACCGTGATTTCATCTCACCGCACTTCTTTTTGCTGTTCCTCTTCAGAGTTACTATCCCTTTTACCCTCTCTCCTTATCAACACCAAACTGTGTTGAAAGCTATGTTTCTTTCTTCCATACACATCTCTGTGAGCAAGTGTTTTTTACAGAGAACTAAGCAGGACACTTTCTCTTTAATATGGTTTTATACTGCGAGTGTCTTGCTGACACCATGGTTTTACTAGCCCCACTTTGATGATGATTTTCATGCATAATTTCCCTTCCTGCAATTCATTTCCATTGACTCCAATTCTTTCGCTGTGCACCTCCAAGAAAAAAATCTAACTTGACACAAGTCAAGCTCTTCTCAATTCAGTAAAATATGCTTCAGTCTGTGCAAGTGAGTGACATGATCCCATTGTTCCCTTTCTATCTCACACCTCAGGGCTCTGCAAGCAGAGACCTGGCTGTCCTGCAACATCCATGCCAATGCAGGAATAACAGCACTTTGATGAAAATGCAGAAAAAATCCACTTTGCCTTCCCAATAGGAGGATTCTCTTTTCTGTAAAGCAAATGATAGGCTTTGCTCCAATGCTGTCATTTTTCTACAGACTTTGAACCATTTCTCTCAGATCGTTAGATACCATATAATGCACGGACCTGCTGTTTTGCTATGGTTGAGTATTTTACTTCTACACAGGGATTAATTTTTTTTTGTTCTTTTCTGTTTTCAGAGACGTGCAGCTGACAATTTGAGAAGACATCATCAATACCAGGTACAGGCCCATGTTTATTTTTTGGGCAATTCTTTTTATATGCCTCCAGGATGTCTTCATGAGGGAAAAAGAAAGGAAGAATTTCATAAGAAAGCAGAAAAGAAAAATAAAATAGCATTAAAAATCAAACAAACTAAAAATCCCTAACACAAACAAGCAAAAAGACAGAACAAAACCAAAAAACAAACAACCAAAACAAAACAGAACCTAAAACCTAACAAACAAAATGTAACCAAAGCAAAAACAAAAAAGAAAAACAACCCCAAAAAAACCCATAAAATGCATACTTATTTCACCTTCAGCAAATGAGCTTAATATTTTTGGTGCTCAAACAAAAGCATTTGAGAAGTAGGGTTGTCTTCAGGAGCAAAAGGGTATTTTCTAGAGCAGTAACATGCTAATCAGTATTTTGTCCACTGTAACATGGATTGTCTTGAAAAAAGCAAACACACAGTCTCACCTGCCTGCTGGGATTCATAAGGCTCTCCATCTCTTCAGCTCTTGTCCCACATAGGTCATGTCCTATCCCTTAATAAACCCTCTATGAGAGACCCTGTGAGCAGTTCTTCTTCATACTTTCTTCTTCAGCTTCTGATTTTTTGAGATTATTATAGTGCAATTAATAATTTTTGGCTTTATTTTCAAATTTTTGTTGTGTTAAAAGGGCTGCAAGGTAAACAAGATGTGGGCTGTACATTTGGTAATTAATGGATTCCATATGGGAAATTACTAGGTGAACTTGGACTTTTCCAACCAGAAAAAGAGACAGCTGTGGAAAGTACAACTGGGATCTATAAAATCATGGGGAAGGAGAACACAGAGCAGCTGTTTACCATTTATCTCCAAACTGAATACCACACATATATTACTCTGCATTAATAAGGCTGTAGGCAGCCCTTTGAGGGAAATGATTATTCTCCAGCCCACACTTGTAAGACTGTATCTGCAGCAGTGTGTCCTGTTTGGACCCCATACTACAAGAGAGATGTTAACTGGAAGGAATCCAGCAAAGGGCCACCAAGATGGTTAGAGGGCTGTCATGAAAGAATCATAGAATCATAGAATCGAAAAGGCTGGAAGACATCTCAAAGATCATTGAGTCCAACCCTACCATCATTATTAGACCATGGCACTAAGTGCCACATCCAGTCCCATGTTGAAAACCTCCAGGGATGGTGAATCCACCACCTCCCCAGGCAGCCCATTTCAATGTCTGATTACTCTCCCCATAAAAAAATCTCTTCCTGATATCCAACCTAAAGCTCCCCTGGCAGAGCTTGAGTCTGTGCCCTCTTGTCCTACTGCTGATTGCCTGGGAGAAGAGACCAACCCCCACCTGACTACAACCTCCTTTCAGGTAGTTGTAGAGGGCCTATCCAGGTCCCTCTGCAGAGCCCTCCTGCCCTCCTCCCCAGCTTTGTGTCATCTGCAAACTTGCTGATGGTGCACTCAATCCCCTCATCCAAATCATCAGCAAAGATACTAAAGAGAAGTGGGCCCAGCACTGACCCCTGGGGAGCACCACTAATGACTGGCCACCAACTGGATGCGGCACCATTCACCACCACTCTCTGGGCCCAGTCTGAAGCTCAGATTTTAGCCTGAAGTAGGTTAAGGGGAATATAACTGTCTTAAATAACATAGTGGATGGTTAGAGAGAAGGAGGCACATTTTTCTTGGAGGCACACAGCGAAAAAACAGGAGTCAATGGGCACAAGTTTCAGGAAGGGAAATTCTGTAAGATAGGAAGAATCATCCTCCGTGAGATTAGTAAAGAATGGGAAAAAGTTGCTCAGGGAGACTGCAGCATCCTCATCCATGAAAATGTTCAGCAATTTACTGGACATGGCCCCGAGCTGAATCAGCCTCCAGGCACCTCTTCCAACCTAAATAATTTTTGAGAGTCTTAGAAGTAAAATGCAACAATGGAACCTATGAGAGAACTGGTTCCAGGTGCTCACTGTCAGGCTGGACATTACTGGCATGAGACATACCTTGGGTCAAACCCAATATAGCCCTTCTCAGGATAATAGATATTAGGATTTTCCATCGAAAAGCAGAACAAATTTTCAACCAGATCTAAGGTTTGTATATTTTTTGTCATGTTCCTAAAGCACAAAATAGCCAAAGCAGACCCAGTGAGTGTAGGTTTAGTAACTAATACCAAGAAACTAACACAATATTTTATGCTTCTAGGAAGTTATGAGAAATCTGGTTAAGAGGTATGTTGCAGCGATGATAAGAGATGCCAAAACTGAGGAAGGATTGACAGAAGAAAATTTTAAGGTATGTGTGTATTTATATGCTTATAGGTGTTTCAGTAAGATATTACAAGACTGTGAAGCATATTTCTCAGACTCAGTTGTTCAGGTAGCATATAACTTGCTTCCTAGAGCAAATTCTTCTGCTACCTTGAAGATGTCAAGTATTATTCAGATGGTGAGGGTTATTATTGATCCCTAGAATAAACCTTTTTTTTCCTTTTTTTTATTAATAAAATTTAAATTAGCTTTCATGCTCTGATGTTTCATCTTTCCTCCTAATTTTTAGGAGTTAAAACAAGATATTTCCAGCTTTCGCTTTGAAGTTCTGGGTTTATTAAAAGGAAGCAAGCTGTCTAATTTGCAGACTGCAAAGATGAACAAAGACACTGCCTCTCTGTCAGAAAATGAAGAAAATAGTGAGAGTGAAGGAAACAAGAAAGGAAAGAAAAAACCTTTCAGCCTTTTTGACATAACAACAATGATTCACCCAAGATCAGCCAATATTGCCTCTGATGGACATAATGTAAGCAATGGCTCAGCAATGATGGTATCAGAGTCCACTCAGGAGAAACAAAAGCGTGTGAATTTTGTAACAGACATAAAAAATTTTGGGTTGTTTCATAGACGATCAAAAACACACTCTGTGGAGCAGAGTACAAATAAAATATACACTGTTTCTGAAGAAGTTTCCCGTCAACAGGCAGAAGAACAATGTGAGAAAACTGATGAACTGGAAGAGGTAGAATTGACCATGAACTGTGAATTAAACATCCAAAGTCCTGACAAAAATTGTGTGTTAGTTGCGTCACAAAATAACAGTGGCTCTTTGGATTCACAGGAAGAGGGAAGTGTTTGTGCTTCAGAAACAGAGAAAATGGAGTCACATAACTCGGACCCTGCCACACCACAGGATCAGCTGGACAAGGTGTTGGACATTAGCATTGACTGTGATGAGAAACAGGAAACAATTGTTCAGGGTGACTATGTGATAACAAGGTTGTGATGCTTACAGGAGGAAGCATTTACAAATATATATATTTTGCATAGTGCTTTTTTGGGGGGGAATGTTTTAAGAATTATATTAGCAAATGCAGAATTACACTTTATAGTACTCAACTGTGGCACATGATCTTGTAACATAGTAGTCAAGAGAAAGACAATATGAGGACCTTCTGGTTTGTAGCCTGCTTTAGCTTTCACAATTTGTTTTACATTTTTTAATAAATGGAAGCATCTTGTATTCTTGTAATGTTGCAATAACCCACAGAAACTTTTTAGCTATCTTTTTCAATTACAAGAAATGCAATTTCTCTCATATGATAGTTGACTCCTATGATAAATATTTTTCTATGCAAATAAAAAGTAGCTTAAGAGACTTGTAAGCCTTTATTTATCTTTGTAGGTTCTTAAAAGATTCTGGGCACCGTGATAATCATATGTGGCTCCTGTCAGCATAATTCATGTCAAGCTATTAGAGTCATTTATTTAAATTGCTAGTGACTTGATTTGTTTCAAAAGCTATACAGAATCAAAAGATAAATTATATTCTTTTATTTATTGAAGGAATATGAATACCTGTAAATTATGAAAGATCAGTCTATTTGATTATTTAATTACAGTTTCTCCTTCACAGCAAGAGGAGTATCACTGTCCTGATACCATAGTTAGAAATGCATTTGCAGGGTTTAAAGACTGTAAAAAATGTTTCTTATAGGAAAATAAATATCTCTGGCTTGCTGAAAAGTGATGATGGATTACTCCCCAGGAATCCATAATCACCACAGCTACTGCTTCTTCAAGCATTTATTTTTCCTAACATGGACAACCTATGCACTTTAATATTCAGCTGCTTATTAGCTTTTGCCTTCACAATACATTTGCATTTGCTAAGAGAAAGATACTTCAGGAATAAAAAAGCATATAATGATCCCCTGAGTACTTGGATAAATATGGCAATTTGTTGAGAGCTTTTAAAAGGCAAGCCTTAAGAGATTTTCTTTGACAATTTCAGAGTTGGGGGGAAACCTGATAGGATGTTTTATAAAAAATACCTAAATGTATAGAGAAAACCCAGCAGTATTTTTCATAGCTGATGAGTGACTTATTGTCTTAGTCAAAACCAGTATTTTAAAAATTAAACAGTCTGTTTCTTTTTAATCATTGACTGGTGTCCTATATTATTAAAAATGTAATTTTACAAGTGACTTAATAATGACCACCCTCAAACTCTCAGCACTATTCTTTTCCTCCTGAATGTACCACATAATTGTGGTCATTTCATTCTTAACTTCCCTAGCACTGACATGATAGATTTTGTAGTTCATATTAGGCTGTACAGAGGAACCTCCAGATGCATGGAGTACGTTTACACTCCAGATTGAATCCATCACATGTGACTTCCACCTTGTAGAACCTGACCTAAAGCCATATCATTTTGGATCTAAACCATCCTGGTACTGAACTGAGTTTTGAAAATCTAGACAAACCCCTCTCATCTCTATACTTTTAGGTGAGTTTTCCAGCTCTATTTTACATATGTGCTACTCTCTCTGAGCTCACATATTGAAAGCTTCCTTCCTGCACATCTGGCATGACAGATATAGTTTTAACCAAAATGGAAAATATGAGCAGTAATTGGAAAACAGTTTGTGTGGCTTTGCAGCAATGTGTTCAAACCATATTTGATTGGTTGATTTCCATCTTGACCTCTTGACTGCTCTGTAGACCCTCTCCTTCACATCTCTCTACTTGTCCACCTTTAGATTGTAAGCTCCTTGGGGCAGGGCCTGCAACTTTTCTGTTTGGAATTCACCTGAACTATTACAATTATAACAAGAAATAAATAATAATAATAATAATGGTGGAATACCTTCATATCATTTTTCATTAGGTCACCTCTTTTAGAGAATTCTGTTTTCCACTGCAATATTTCTGCTAAAAATGCCACAAAGCAAATGTTTCACACGTTGTCACACAGTTTTCTATATTCCAGTTAGCGGTCCTTCTCCAGCACTGATGTCAGTCATTCTTCACCATGGTTTGTAACACCCTGAAGTCCTAAGCTTACTATCATTTCACTAGCCAAATTCAAAATAAACAGTGCTTGCTCCAAATAGCTTTCACTACATTCCAGCCACATGGTTTCACTCCAGACAAAACGTGCCTGAGCAGGGTATTCATAATGCCAACATCACTATTAGAAGAACTAGTTAACTAACACAGGTCTAAGAGTTCTGCATATTATTCCACCATCATAAGAGCATGTTTCTCCTGTGTATGAAGTTCCCAACACAGTACAGCTAACCTGAAACATCAGCCACACCATGACCCCCCTGTGCATTGCATCATAATAGATGGTCAGCCTTTTGGTGCTTTTTCTCCTTTTTTGGTGGGTTTTTTTTTAACAGTCAGGTATTGAAACATAGGTCTATTAAATAAAGCATTCTTAAAATCAACATTTGCCGAATTTTTATGTTACTCTTAGGAGTCAACACCTGACACTAATAAGGACCTGATCCTATTCCATTTAAATTTAATGGCAAATAAGCACCTCATTCTCTGATAACAGATGTGCCCAAAATATATCCAAAATTGAAATGGTGGTGGACTTTTATGGCTTTGCAGGCAGTCAAAATACCTCCACCTTTTTAATGGATGCCTCCGAGAGGACATGTGTGCCAAGAAAGATTTAGAAGTGCACAGAGCAAGGTTTGCAATGCCACAGGGGAGGCATTACTAAGTTTTGCAACACTGAGCATAATTTCTCCTCAGGAGAAACAAAAAGTTCAGACTTACCTGTCTTTTCCTTCAGTTTCCATTAGCATCAACATAGAAGAAACACAAAAGAACCAGGATATAAACCCCTATGAAAGACAGTCTTTTAAAACAGAGGATGAAAACATGAAATGTTTCATGGAGCTAGAAAATTGACTAAATATAAATGGGTTTAATCCTGGTATTAGGCTGTTTAGAATGTTAAGAAAACATTTTTTACAAAATGTATACCTTTTTTTTTGCTGTTGTTCTAAGGGCAAATCCTGATTGCTCTTTGTATTTTCATGAGCTCCCAGAGAAAGAGAGTGCAGACAGCCCAGCAGGACTCTTCTACCCTGGCACAGCTGGACAGAAGACAGCTTGAATTCTTGCAACCCAGTGCTCCCAAGCACAGCAGGTCTGAGCCAAAGCAGACTGGGGAGTGGATACTTCCATTCTCCCCAGGCTTCACCTTGATCCACCATCAGGCATCAGTGATGCAAATACTGCATGCTGTACCTTCAAAATAAAACTGCGAAACCTTCTTCTGACTCTGCATACTTTGATGTCCCTCAAGGGCACTGCAGAGGTGAGAGCCATGCATCAGAGGGTTCAGACTGCAGGGTCCTGTAATTCATCTGCAGGCCATTGCACTACCTCTATGTGATACAGTAACATCAGAGAGCAAGGCAGGTAGATGCCTCTTCAAGGGTGAACTACAGTTCTGCAGTTGGTTTTAATCTTGTTTTCTTAGTCCACAGATTGAGACCGTTGTATTGACTGGTGTGAGCTAAACACCTCACACAGCACTTTCTTTGTTTTGATAGGCCAGGATTTAATGAGAAATTCTATGACTTTCCTAATCTGAGCTTTTTTGTCAATAAGTAGTGCCTAGTTCCAGGAGAATGCATATCTTCAACATAGCTATAGCTGCCAAGAGCTGCAAAAGGTGAAATTTCAGGTATTTGGGCACTCAGAATTCTTTAGGAGAATGTTTGATACAAGAGTGTTTTCCTTAACAGCACCCTTTGACCAAACTTTAAGGAGGAAAATTTTTTTTTAGATTCCTCACAGGCATAAAGCTAAGATAAAAGACAGACAGACAGATAGATAGATAGATAGACAAAAGACACAAAGAAATTATTACATGTTTGTCTCTGCTATATAGGTATTGCAGGCTATAACATCCCATTTACTCTCAAAACCTCAGAATAATATTTAATCATAATCTGAAAAACAGTGTGAAAGAAAAGCAGATCATGCTTAAAGATTGTGATGAGGCAATGAACTTTTGAATACAGCTCAAAACATTTGGTATCAAGTTTTGTTCTGGGAATACAGAGGTACAAGTTGAACAACAACATAATCCAACTTCATTTTAAAGTCCCTTAAAATATAGCAACAGCTTTATCAAGTAAGGTAACATCACAAAAATAATAGTACTGATAATAGTAATGATTGTGGTAGTGATTGCAGTAGTAGCAGTAAATATAAATGTAACAATAGGAATCTTATGCATATACACCCCTGGGAAAGTGGAACTCCTTGGTCCTAATCCCTGCTCAAAGTTTGCCTGCTTTTCATGTCAAGCAACCGTTCGATAACACCAGTAAAATGACTTTGGGCACACCTGTCTTCCAACATAAGCACTCTAATCTCTGCCATAAAAATCCTACTTCTCTGTGTTTCAACTCTTTGACTAGTTGAAGTTCTAATTATGCACCTTACATTCACTGTAGCAGGAGCAGATTAGGGATCCTTTGAGAGAGTTTATGGTTAAGTAGTCAGACTTCAAAATAAAATACTGCAGTTAAGGATGAATTTCAATCCTCTAGATATGAAAAGCAATTGAACCCATTGAACTACATCAAATCAAGTTCACTAACCATTGATTTAGGGCTTCAGATGTTGCCTTATTTGTCTAAGCATAAAAGAATGAAGCAGAGATGGTTCCTCATAATAATAAAACAACCAAAAAAGTTGCAAACTTCAACCATCATGAATATAGAACTGTAAGAGAGCTCAATCATGTAATATACTTAGTTTTATCATGGATCCCTTCATCATATAATTCTTTTCCTAAATTAATCAAATCCTCTGTTGTTGTTAAATACAGCTATGAAATGTTTACACATATGAACCATTTCAACTGCTTATATTTGTACCTTTGGGCAGCAACTATCTTTTAACTTCATAGCTTTTTTCTGACTACTGCTTGTTTTTCTGGCTATACTGGTCCCCTTTCAGCTTCAGGTTTCTTTGTGTGTAGTCTAAACCAATTATGTGATATTCACTTCCATTAAACTTTCTTCTCTCCTTAGTTAACTATCATAATTACAGCCAAGTGCTGTGCAGGGTTAGGTGTTCATTGCTGCTGTGGCCTTTTAAGCCTGGCCTTTGGTTCTTTGTAATCTAGTACCTTTCTACC